ATTCTATAATTTCTGATTTGTCAAACAAAATAAACAAGCACAGATTTTCAGGAAGTTAGCACCCAAGTGTGCATTAGCACTTGACGATTCAGCTCCTGAAAATTAGTATCATAGTGAAATATTGTACTTGCTTTATTTAATAGGAGATCACTCATGAACAGAATATGCTTCCACCATCAACTTTTAACTTACCTCAAACAAACAGACCATGGAGCTATTCACAAATCACATTTTATGCAACTTCAATTGATGTACTGTCTAAGCCACCAACATAAAGATACATATAAACAAATGAACTATCATGACTCTGTACTCTCAGCAGCACCACCTACAACTTGGTTTCCACAATTGTAATAGAGACGGTGAAAAATAAGGTGGGCGATGCAGAGGAAGTTTTCTCTGACTTCGGATCACCTGATACTTAGACAGAGGCACTGTGTGATGATAGACCAGAGGGATTTCCTTCGCCTCTGTTCTACGGTATAAAAGTAGGAGGGAACAATGAGGGATTTCGATCGAGGCTTTAGGTCGAAGCTGAAGATGGGATGGACGACACAGAAGTCGCCGGACTGATTTCAGAGACACCGCCGGAGAGGGGATCGAGCCATCAAGGAAAAAGAGAATTGTGTTTGTTCGTTATTCTTCTAAGTTTCTGTCGAAAAACAGAAACTAATTGCAGATACGTGAATTTAAATCAATTAATGAAAGAAAAAACAGAAAAACATATATAACGGAACACTTTTTTCGTTAGTTTGAAAGAGGGTATGAGCCCTTCTTATGGGCCAGACGGGTGGGTTAGAAATTAGTAAATCCTCGTCGCCGGACTAATTAAAAATCGCGTTATCGGTGCCGCATTTTTTTACCGCGACACTGTAGTATGGTATTGGCCAGTTAATTTAGCGTGACCAACTTTAGTTACGTTTCTTCGAAAGCCCATCCAACTGTTACAACTGAGCCCAGGCCGTGCTGCAACGAGGGGAGCGTGGCCCGGAATCCAGCAGCCTTGAGCCCAGTCCAGACCCAGCCGACGCAGTGAAAGTAAACCACACCAGTCGTATCATGGAGAGTGGAGATAAAAAGCCTCCCAGACTCCCAGTAGTCAGTAGTACTCAGTAGTTCAAACGAAAGTGCCTTTGAAAAATCTAGTTTTCCCTCGACATGGAAGATTTGGCAGAAGAAGGCAATCCCCACACGGCAAGAAATGACCAACCCGCCTAGCTATTACTACTACTAGAGACAAAGAGAGCAGATCCGCCATGGCTGAATCTTCTTTTTCTCAACTCTAGTTTATTTATTATCATAAACACCGTACATACCAGTAACTTACATTCTTGGTGTTTCTATTTCCCGCAATCCAAAGGTTTTTCCCATGGTAAAGTTTTTAACTTTTCACCTCAAAAGGCACGGCAGTCATATGGGACAACTGCAACTGGAATGGTGATGGCCCTGATGGGGCATGGGACGGGAAATTATTAAACAAAGTGAACGATGACTGGGAAATTGGCGGGTGATCGTTTCGTGGGTAACTAAATACACGACAGGTAATCCCCCCAACGAGGCAAAAAGCAACTAGCTTTCTCCCTTCTCTCCGGTTTCTTCATCCCTATTTACTTCGATTCGAGGGTTCAAGCCACCACCCATGGAAAGCTTGAACAGAAAAAACCCAATTCACCAAAAGGAAACGAATATGAACATGGAGAATTAAAGAAGGATTAAAATTTTGAAACAGAGAGAGAGAGAAGGGGAAATTGGAAAAAAAATGATGAAAAGGGAAGAAGAAGGTGGTGAAGTGGGGAAAAGCAGAGATGGGGCAGGGCCGTCCGCGGAAAAGAAGGAAACTTTGGCTCTAAAGTTGAAGAAGCTCCAATCAGTGGGCCATCCCCCTGATTCCACTCCCGTTAGACTTTGGCTCCGTGAGGTAGAGCACCAGAAGAACCAGCACGATCCTGTTCCCTCTTCTTCTTCTTCTTCTCCTCGTGATTTCGCCGCGGGTTACAGCAGAAGCAGAAACCGTCCAACCGTTTCCGCCAGGAAGCTTGCCGCGGCCGTCTGGGAGTTCCACCACTACCGGCCTCTCTCTAAGATGCACAGGGGCGCCAATTTTACTGGTAACGGCGGCGGCGGAGGTGGAGGCCACCGCCAACAGAGTCGTCACCGTGGGTTTAAGGGCAAGGGTATTGATGTCTCCCGCTTCTTGCCTGACCCTTCTCCCAGCTCTCCTGATCAGGTAATGCTACTTCCGTTACTTTGCGCTCCTTTCAACTTTTGCTTGTTTGTTGATTTTGTCCGATTTGGCTGCCGGATCGTGGGGTGATTTTGGGTTTGTGGGCGATTGTCGGTGACTAAGTTGCTGAGCTTTGGGTTCTGTTGATGGATTTTTATGGATCGCTTTTAGGGTCGATGGAGGCAATATCTAAAACTTGAATTATTGCCCAGAAGTTGTGCTATCTATCTCTGTTTCTTGAATAATCTGAAATTGGGGGTTTTCTTGGTGCATATGGTGGTCTGCTGTGTGAAGATTATATAAATGCATTTTGCCATAAAAAAAATAGATTGCAAGACTCAGGTGGATTTCAGTCGATGGGTTGATGATGTGGCAAGACTTTGGCTGAATGTTAAAAGAGTAGTTGCTGCTTGTTCTTGCTGGATTCTCTGAATCCTGATGTTGTAATTCTTGTTCAGCCCGAGAGTGCAGGCAGCCTGAGGAGGCACATTGCCGCGTCACTGATTCAGCATCATCGGTCGATCGAGAGAAGTAATCATGCTCTGCAGCCTGTTTCCCCAGCAAGTTATGGCAGCTCCTTGGAGGTAAACCTTTTTCTCTTTTTATAGTCAGTCAAGCACCTATTGTGTTGTGTTCTACCTAAAATGGTGCCAAAACGATGATGCGGTCTGAAGTGTGACGTATGGGCTTCACTCTTACCTATTGTCCCAGCAAACACTTGCTTTGCATTTCATTTGAACAAAACATGTCTGTCTTTGCTCATTCTGGTGTCATTTAGTTTTGGTTTCTTCCTCATGCTTTTGCCTTTGGAGCTTCCGTCCAAGATTTCTCATTATCTACTATTCCTTTCTTTGCAAGTCCAGATGGCGCCTTATAATCCTGCAATGACACCAGCCAGCTCTGTAGAATTCAAGGGGATGGTTGGCAAGTCGCGCTATAATATTAAAACTTCCACAGAGCTATTAAAAGTGTTGAACAGAATATGGAGCTTGGAGGAGCAGCATGCATCTAACATGTCACTGGTAAAAGCTCTGAAGAAAGAGCTAGACCATTCCCGCATCAGAATCAAAGAGCTCCTTCGTGATCAACATTCGGATCGACGTGAGATGGATGAGTTAATGAAGCAAATCAACGAAGACAAGAAAAGCAAGGAACAGGATCGGTTGCATGCTGCAGTTCAGTCTCTGAGGGACGAGGTAGAAGACGAGAGGAAGTTGAGGAGAAGGTCAGAGGGTCTGCACAGGAAGTTATCCCGAGAGCTTTCTGAAGTGAAATCTTCGTTCTCCAATGCACTGAAAGAAATGGAAAAGGAGAGGAAGTCGAGAATGCTTTTGGAAGATCTCTGTGATGAGTTCGCTAGGGGGATAAAGGAGTATGACCAGGAACTGCATCATGCAATGAAACAGAAACCTGATCACAATGACTGGGTTGGAAGAAGCAGTGATGGTGATGATCGCTTGATTCTCCATATATCCGAGTCATGGCTTGATGAGAGGATCATGCAGATGAGACTAGATGAAGAAGCTCGGCAGCATGGTTACTCCACAAACAGCTCAATAGTTGACAAGTTAGGTTTCGAGATAGAGACATTTCTTAAGGCAAGAAGAATGGCAAACTCCAAAAACATGGATAAATTGATCCCAAAGGAAAGGCGGAATTCAATGGAATCTGTCCCCATCAAGGCCGTGAGTGCTCCTCCGGATGTAGGGGATGAAGATGATGATTCTGTGGGCAGTGATTCTCAGTGTTTTGAGCTCAACAAACCATCGAAGAATGATTATAATGAACATGAACATGAAGACAAGAAAAAGCTCATCTCATCATCTCGTGAAAGAGTTAAAAGCCGGAGTCCTTCAAGCTTGCAAGTCAAATTCGAAGAACAGATGGTCAGGGCGATGATGTCATCCAATGCCGATAAGAACCCAGAGATGGTGGACTTGGAGGAATTGAAACCAAGTGGAAACTACGAAACCACACAAGGCGGCGGTGGTACCAACGAGAGGAGAAACAAGGCCACCGACGAGTCGAACTCTAACTATGCGATGGATAACCTGATCAAGAGTCACATCTCAGCAGCTTCAGAAACTGGAAACCTCCATTTCGATCGCATCAACAACGCAGGGGAGGCGGCTTCTTCTAGCTATCCATCTCGAAGGACTGCTGCTAGTCCAGTGAGGCAGTGGATGGCCAAACTCACCACCTCGGATGCTGACGTGGCGGAATCATCCACCAAATTGCCTCCGGAGAACACGTTGAAGGCGAAGCTACTCGAGGCGAGATCCAGGGGTCCTCGATCGCGATTGAAACTGTTCAGAGGTCCGTCTTAGTCTTAGGAAAGAAGTTGGAATTTGACTGCTGCGAGATCAGCCGAGTTATTATCCTGCCACAACCACATATATCATATATGTTGTCGGCCTAAGTCGTTCTGTGATTTATTTTTGCAATGCGTATTTCTGTACATGAGTGAAACTATTGGCATGTAAAGCTTTTTGTTTATTCATCTTGGTAACAGTCATGATCCAGATCTTCGATTCCAGTGGTTGCTTGTGGATTTCTTGTAGAAAAAGAAAATGGTTCTGGTTGACATGCGCTCGCCTCTAACTCCTCTGAAAGTTTGTTCAAAACAATATGTTGGGCTGGCAATGGCCCAAAACTAAACAAGATCTTTGGGCTGACATAAGGCCCAAGTAGCACAGTGTATCTATTCTTGTGTGACTGGGTTCCTGCTTTGCTTCCGGAGCTCGGTTCCGCCGCTTCTCGGCCTTTCACCGGAACCCACGAGGCGGGCCCGGATTCGTCGAGCCTGGACACGAGCTTAAGGACCAAGGTGTGATCGGTGAGCTAAGAGCGTCGGAATTACAGGGCAAAGAAAGGATGGCCGCGGCGGCCTCTCTCAGGTGGATTCTGCAACTTCACAAGGATGTGCCCAAGGCCGCTCGTTTCTACTCCGAAGGTCTAGACTTCACTGTCAATGTGTGCACTCTACGGTGGGCTGAGCTTCAGTCCGGGCCTCTGAAGCTCGCCCTCATGCAATCTACCAAGTAAAGTTCTATTTTCTCCAGTAATTGGATGCCTGCCTGCTAGGTGTTCGATCATTTGTCTCTGAGAGCTCCCGTATTTCAGTTTTCCGTTGAGGGTCAGATTAACACTCTGGTCACGAAAGCTTGACGATTGTCGCTTGTTTCTTGTGCTTATACGTGTTGTTTAGCTGGTGCTGGACATTGAAGAGAATAGGGACCTTCTGGCCGGCTATCACTGACTTTTTGAACATTGCTATTATCGTACATCGCCTAGGCAACATTCTTTCTGGGTGGAAAAGATGGAAATCGTGTCATAATAATGTTTTAGTTCCTTGTTAGCTGGCTTTGCAGTGGAGGGCCAGCTGCTGACCCCTATTTTTTCAGTGACAATGTTCCGCAGAAGGGGTATTCTTCTTCGCTATCATTTACAGTCACTGATATCAATAGTACGGTGACAAAGCTGATGGCTTTAGGCGCAGAGCTAGATGGACCCATCAAGTATGAAATTCATGGAAAGGTAATCGATCTTCCTGCTTAACATCTTTCTGAAGCTAAAACTACTGAAACCGCTCTCTTATGTCTTGCCACAATGGAGGGAAGAAAGATACCCAACAGAAAATATATTTGTTTGTAGCAGGTAGCTGCCATGCGTTGTATGGACGGCCATGTCTTAGGGCTTTATGAACCAGCATAAAAGGGTCTACAAAGGAAAGAATAAAGAAGTCAAATTTGATGCCAAGTGTGGGGTAATTCCTGCTGGCTGCCGGGTCTTGTTCTTATTTCAAAGTCTTGGAATCTTCTGAAGACACGGAGAAGACATGGGAGATTTCTCCATGCTTGGGGTTCCCCTTGATTATTGATAGCGTTTGTTGATCGATATCTATAATTGCTGTGCATAGGGTGTATAGAGTTGGACCTGGAATTAAGACAAAGCTGTGAGATTGACAAGTGAACTGATTGAATAGGAAGAACAAAGGTCCTGCATTTCCATTTTGTTACCATTCATGTAAATGGGGTATCTTTTGTCCCCCATATCTCCTAGAATTGACAAGAAATCCTCCTTTGATGTTTTCGCCAGAACAGCTGCTCTTTCTTGCCTGCATTTTGAGTTGTCATCTTGTACCTATTGCAGATGAAATGATTCAATTACAGTTTCTTTGTTAGAAAAATATCTCATTGACATTTCGTATTTCGTCACCTGATCGACTTGAAGGTGGAGATACATATTTGCATGGAAGAATGGCGTTGTTCCAATCTCGCGAACTGAAACCCGATTTCTCGAGGCTGTTTCAACGTTCAGTATCTTTCTGTCTGGCATGTAGATGAGGTTGTAGCAGTGCCCTACTGAAACTTCACATGAATGTATGATCTGCAGAAAGAGAAGTTCAACTCGTTAACTCTGTAATTATGAATCACAGTGACAGTCTTTCTGCTGCAGGACCCAATTCTTACTCTCAGTGCATCAGCCATGCTTGTTGCTTCTAGTAAGTCTCTAGAGACAAAGTTCCTTCCAATTCCTCCAGCCATTATCTCATGTTCTGATGGAGGCACTGAGTTCAATGTGAATGCCTAATGAGATTTCTTTTTCAAGTCAGCAAATGAAATGCAAAACTTTCAACTTGTATAAAGCTACCCTAAATGGGAGGGGAATTACCAGTCCATGAGTATTGAACCCAAATGCACAGCTTGGAAGCTCCCCTGCATATGTATACCCAACAAACACTAATCCATTCTGCAATTTTGCCTTGATCAGATAGCTGTAAACATCCTGAGCCAGAGTAAGTAATTAACCCGGATAACAACCCCCCCAAAAAAACATGTGATTCAAGTGGCGGCAAAGTTTACATGTGATCAACTAAAGCCACATTAGCATCCTCATTGTGGGCAGCAATGGCCAGATCCTCACTGACAACGAGAATATCCGAACAGTCATCGATAGTATCGACAGATTCAGGGCTCGACACCTGTAGTGTCTTTGGAACGAATGGCAGAATCTCCTTCCTGAAATTGATCAAGACCACCTGCAATGCAGAAACTAAACTTTAACAACCCTTTCTTCTCATTGTAAATTTTGATTGTGATAATTAACTTTTGGCTTCTTTTACCATACATCAAGAAGAGAAACTCCACTGCCTGCTGCAGTTCCCAACAGCTCATCCCAGTATCTGGGGAACTTGTTCCTGTTGTTATCAGAGAGGGCCTCGATAAGCTGCTTTCCTTGTGGAGTTTGAGCAAAAGGGCGAAGCTGATTCTGAAGAATAAGGTCTCCTGCTAACCGGCTCCTTATCTCCTTGCTGAACCTCTGGCCTATCAGCAAACCCATCTGGTAGCCATCATTGGACGGTCCAACTTCGAACAGTTCTGGCCCTTTGGACTCCATGTCAGAGTTACCCATTTCAGCTGAAGCCTCGTTTGGCAATCTTGAGAGCCTCTCCGATTTACTCTCGCGATATTGGAAGGTAACATGACCTTATCATTTTTATCATCTGCGCTTACCTGTCCGCAGTCAGCATTCATTGGCCATAAAAACGGAAAACCCCACATCTCTATTTCACAATTTCAAAAAACAAAACTGTTTGCTAGTAAAACTCTATTGGTGGAGCATAAAAAAATCTCTCAACAGTCGAGATAACATTATTTCTTGAAGTTTTGTCAAACATAAAATAGTCACCTTTAGTTTTCACCAGCAACCATACATACAATTAATCGCAAAATACACTTGTATAGTCTTAACTTTTGCTATTTTGCCAATAATAGCTATTTTTGGAAAAACACATAAAATAACCCACTCCGTCCAATTCTTTAACGATGTCATCTAACATGTTGACTGGACTAACAAAAACGCTGACATGGAGACGTTTCGTCATTAACATTACCACGTGGATTGACTTTTAAAAAATATATATAAAAAAATCTCTCTGTCAACTTTCCATCTCTCAACTTTCAGCCCCTTCTCATCCCATCCTCCGCGATTTGATTCTCCTTCTTCACCTCGGCCATCTTTGATCTCTCTTTGTGAGCAAACATTCACTCTGATTGGCACCCACCTACCCAACCTTTCCCTTTCTCCAAGTTTATTCTCGGTCTCAGTTAGGTTAATTTCCATCTCTCCCCCATCCCTTTCTTCCCTTCTCTGTTCCACCCTTCCGCCGCTCAATTGAGGATTAACGGTCATCAAATCCATAGGTTTCATTCTCCCTCTCCCGACGAAGAGAACCCATAAACGAAACCTCAATTTGGGTGAATTATTGTAGTCAGGATCGAGGTTGCCCAGGCGATGGTGTCTAAGTCACCGGCGATGGATTCAAGAGAAGGAGAAGGGAGGCCTGGATGAGAATGGTGAAAAAAATAGCTTCATGCGGCGGAGGACGACGAGAAGCTGGAAAGACAGGGGGAATCCAGTAACCGCCCACCTCCCGACCTTCCATCACCGTTGCTTACCCTCGCCCTTCTCTTCAAATCCATAAGAAAATTTCAGATCTGATGGATTCAAGCATCCACTAAGAATCAGATCTAACCAGAGGGGCATCGTCGTTCCTCGTACAACGTCACCATAATCCCCATCTCTGTATATTCTTTGTAGAATCCAATTCCTCTACTCTATCTATCCACGATGAGTCCTTGATTCAGTGTTTTTCTGTGGTGAGTGATTTGGTGTGAGTGATTTGGTTCGACGGATCTGGTTTCACTGACGAATGCGGGAGAAGAGGTCGTCGGTGTGTTTGATGAGATTCCTTTTTTGTTTTGATTTATGATGTTCTTGCGGGATTGATGGCTAGAGACTGATATTAACATTGTATATTTGTTTGGGAAGTTATGGAAGGTGTTGGAACTTCATTTTTTTGGGAAGAACAGAAAGAACAGATCCGCGCAAAGTGGCGAAAGAAAAGGAAAGGGAAGACAACATGGGGAGAAAAAATAATTAAATATTTTATTTTTATATTTGACATTATTTTTATATGAAAACTCTTTAAATATTATTTAAAATGACACGTGTCATCTACGTGTCCATCAATAACTGAGTTGTCATTGACGTGGACGCTAAGTTGGCATCTTAGTCAGCATTCCGTTTAGATAACTGACGCTGACACTAATACCGTTAAAGTTTGTAACGGAAGTGGCTAGATTTGTCATACAATCATTCAAATTGTGGCTATTTTGTGTATTTCTCCATAAAAAATGACTTAGTCGTAATTACAACAGAAACATATAATCGAGAGAATACGCGCGCTTATTATGTAAATGTGTACGTCTTAATCCATTCAACAACCAAAACGGGGCCAACCTGATGGCAAAGGAAGTTTTAGGTGGGCAAGTTCAGGGGTTTGTTTTGGTGATGTGATTTCTATGGTTGGTAATATGATGAACAAGCATATCCAAGAGGGGTAGGGCTACCAAAGAGCGAAGCAGAGAAGAAATGGAGGCACTTTGTTGGGCATCCAAGGAAATTGTAGGTTTTCCAGGGTCCACTGGGGAATTGGGATCAATCATCTTGGAAGCACAATAAACTTTTGAAGATTCCAACGCACGACTCTTCCCCTTCAATTTTGCCAATCTGCATGTCCCAGTCGATTCGACCGCTGGGAGAACCGCCGTCGGCACTTTGATTTTAACAGGGAAGATCCTATCCTTAAAACAGACTGGGACCTCCGAGGGAATCGCACAGAGAACCTGAATACGAATGTGTATAACTGGGGAGAACCAGGACGACCAGTCAATCTCTATGAATTTACCACAAAAATCTCCAATAGATTTGAAGAGGCTCGCACTCTTAATATGAAGGGGTACACCAAAAACCGACAGCCAAGTCTCATTGCTAGGGTGTTCAGCCTCACGTCCGATCTCCTGATTCCACAAAGAAAGCTTGAAACTGAAGCTACGGAATTGGGAATGCTTTAGTTCCTTGATGCGAATTGCCTCCACGGCACTAGGACAAATGAGCAACCAATTACCGTCCGAAAGCTCCTCGAAACCAAAGAGATCAGTGATAGCCCAAACCCTGCTTGCCCACCTCTTGAACTCAGATAACAGATTTTTCGTGAAGGATTATGAGCTGGAGATCGGTCTGACCACCAGGCATCTCCCAAGAAGGGTGAGCCTTTTGTCCACCCCTTCGCCACTTACTTCTATGAACTTGTCCCTCCCTTGCATTTTAATTTCACAGTAACCTCCACCATAGAATCCACCATACTTCACCGCCTCAGCAAAGGAGACTCCTGGATGGACAAACACAGGAAGAGAGAGGTTAAGGGGCTCGCTGCCAGATCCTGGAGAACTCTCATGGCGTTCAGCGACGTATAAATCTTGTAGGAGACGGATAATACGTGCCCATACAACCTTACCATCATCTTGAGGGATGATGATCTTGAACACCTTACCAAGACGCGTTAGTTCGGAGATTTGAAGAAAGGGTCCCCTAAGGTTTGACGCCTTCCCAACATGAATGGTACGAAAACCACTTCTCAACACACACCCCCGAGGAAAAGACCAGTCCTTCATAGCCGCTGTTTGTAGTGTACCTTGAAGCCAAGCTATTTGAGCATCATTCATCACGATGCTCCATCTTCTTCTCCCTTCTTCCACCTGAAGCTTATTAAGCCAATCCATCCCAAGCTTAATCTTCCATATGGCCACGATCTTGGATCCCATCCTCATGGTCCGCCGACACTTACCCGCTGCCCTGGAGCTGCTCGAATCATCTGATGCCTGCGACCTGCAAAACAAAGAGGAAAAACACTCTCCCGACTTGCTAATCTTTCTACCACTCGTTACCCCGGTCTCACAACTGTGCGCGCCCCCACCGGCCGCCTGCCTGAGAAACTCTCTCTCTTTCTCATATTCGACTTACTCTACAAGTGCTTGTTAAAGAAGGTGCAAAGAGTATTCGATGATCATGGCATGAAAGAATGCATTTAAACAGATACAATATTATGAACTTCTAAATAATTTTAGGATGATAGAGTCAATAAAGTGATAATTTTCGTAGCAATATGCAAGTGGAAGAATGACACGTGGTTTCCGTCCCGGCTTGTTGAAGTGTTGGCTCGGTGTTTCCGTGGAGTTATATGGAGCTTTTATAGGATCTTCTGCTCCTCCTTGGACACGATCTCTTTGCCTCTCTTCAGCTTTGAGCAATATGTTTCATATCCATTGCCATATAATTTTAAATCTGTGATTCATTGTGTTGGATGTCTTTGCGCAATCTCCAGGTCACGACACATGACATTGCTAATGCTCTATTGCCATGGACTCCGTTGTGATTGGACGAGCTAATCCTGATAATTTTGCTACTACGTACTCTGTTTGGTTGGAAGTGAGAGGGATTATGAGTACTACGTTTGTTAAAGTGTTCATCTCCTTCGGGAGAATGTTTTCACTCAGCGTTTCGCTTTCCTTTGTTGAATCTCTCAAGTCTCAAGCATGATTTGATTTTAACCGTTTGTCATGAGATAATTTTCTCATGTTTTGAACCCACTGTGTGTAATTTTATTCCTCACTATAATCAATCTTTCAAAGTGCAATTTGTAGAAAGAAAACACGGAACAGCCAAAAACGAACCCAAAACTGAAAACACATTGGATTTGTTTTCTTTTAACCAAAAACTTTATCATTTTCCATCATCGCGTATGAAGAAAAAACAAACAAGATGGTGAAGGTAAAATGAACGGGTTAATTACATGGTTGGTCACTCAGATTACAAAAAATAATTCATGTTTGGTCACTCGAAATATTTAAATCCATTGGTGGTACTTCCCTTTACTTAAACCGTTCATGTTTGGTCACTCTTCGTTAGTCTCCGTCCATCTCCGTTAACCGTGTCCGTTAAGTGATGACATGACGGATGGAATCATCTAGTCAGCCTTATTTAAACAGAAAATAGGGTGACCCGACCCGACATGTCACTGAGACCCACCATGTCATCTGGACCAACCTTACTCTCTAATCAGACCCGACCCGACCCTTAAACTAAACTACCCATACAAATTAAATCCCTAATTTCTAAAATAAATCTCCACCTACCACTTTTCAATCGTGTGAAGCCTTCCTTCCTCGTTGTCGCTGAACCATCCCCTCATTAGAACACTCCTTCTCCTCCTCAAAGCTGTCGCCGTCGTCACAAAGTCCCCAGCGCATCTGCAAGTCAACCGCCGAATATGCCTTGTGTGTGGAGGGACTGTACGGCGACAACCAAAAGCGGCTGGAGCGGTGCGAATCCGACGACGGCGCCGTCATCTTCCTAATTAGGTTTTGGTTTCAATTCATTCGCATTCTTCCTCTACCTTTTTCTTCCTTCTTTCTCTACCGTTTCCCAGATTTCGATCTATTGTTAACTATTGTGTTTGATCCCACTCCTTCTTCATCTTGGCCATGGAGAAGCACATATAGGGGATTAGTGATCTATTTTCTTCCATCCCTCTGTTTTTAGAATATTAGGTGATCTCATTTTGTGATAAGAGTGAACAAATATGGGTTCTGATTTAATGAGTTTGCACCATCTACTATTGTTCACTCCCATGGTTAAGTGTAGAGACGTGATCTGGCCTTGTTTCATTTCAGTACTTTTCTTGATTGATTCGCAAGAAGGCGGCGAATTGCTGGGGAGAAAGGGCTGCGGTGATTCCTGCAGAGAAAGAACATAGCTTTGGAACTCTGATCTGTCTGTTCCGGTGGTTCCCTCGCTAGCTAGCTTATCATCATGCATTCCCTTTTACAGAAAAAGTTTATTAAAAAAAAACAAAAGCTATCATATTATTGAAATAGATAGGTAAGACTCTAGCAAAAGTCTTGTGTTATAAACAAAAATATAGAAAAGCTAGCTAGCACAATAAATGCACAATTGCACATACATCATAAGCTGAATTGTTATGTTCCCAAATAGTATCATCCATCCATGAACTCCCTCTTGCACGCCATAATTATTGCCCTGCTACCTAGCTAGCTAGTTTACAACAATTTTTAAAGGAAGGACAACTACAGAAGACTAGACTGGGAGAGAGAGATCATTTTGATTAGTTTGCTGCCCATACTATTACTAGGTTGTAGCTTTGCCTTTGTTTATGAACACTGAACAGTCTTCCTCATACTATAACTAGGTAAGGAAATGAAAACAAGACATAACATATATATAACACAGTGGTGCTATAGCTATACTGATGAATCGTGCATTCATTTTCATACACTGGCCCACATACACTACAAGCAGCAGATGTACTCAGTCACATCGGGTAAGAATAAGAGTGTAAGACCCCCGCTCGCTCTATACCAATTCAAGCAAACAAGTTTTACACCTATATATATATATATATGTCAAATGCTAATATCTCTTATTTTACAGTACAAATCATGATGAAAGGTTATAGAGGGTATATATATAGAACACTAGACTCAAATTACCTGAGACTTCTTTTTTTAGTTCAAGGACTGATCAGAGCAACAACGTAGCATTCTTTGGTGAAGAATGAGTTAATAATAGCCTCATCATCGTCCGAATAGAATCGATCTGTACAGGAAGGGAGCTCCCTTCAGTCCAAGTACAGGAAGCGTAAGATCCAATTTGTCTCCTGCATCATTCACTCATTTACTGTACGTGCTGCAAATCCCGTACGTTCTCCCAAAAGCATTATTTCGTTATATCATTCTTCCTTCTGTAGCAAGTAGCTAGTAGATAGATCAGTATTTGGATGAATGAGTCGGCAGCTAATTGAACCTCACTGCTCCCCATTAGTGGACTGAAGAAAGCTCCCTCCCTTTGCATGTTTTTCCATGTTCCCGCACACTAAAACCCTAAATAATGAAAAGCTTAGCTTCTTCCTCATATGTAAGAATGAAACCCTCGTGGCCGGGTTCCCGTTGAGGATGGAACTCTCATTGGCTAGCTAGCAGCTTTCACGAAAACTTCTAAGTGATGATGAACGTAACTTATTAT